TTGTTGGCTGGTTCGGTTATGTTGCTATCTTGCAATTTAATTAATATTATAAACATAACAGATAACAAGATCATTACATTTTAAATCACACCATAGACTAAGCACATATATAATCTGTAATATATTTAAATACTATTGTATGTTATTAAAATCATTGTGTAAATTAAGAATTTTCCACAAACTAACCAGGTAGTTATTCACTGTCAGATCTATGACGTTAGTCGCTAGTATATCTCATTATCTAGTTGAATAATTATTTTCATAATTCCGGATTTTTACATAAACGTTTTCATTATTTTGTTACAATATCAAAACATAAACGTAAAAATAGTGTTGATATGCCCTTTAAATAGTATATTTGTGAATCATAATACAAAATATTAGGTACATAAATACGGTAAATATTTGGGAGGGCTAATCGAAAACTTAGGGGCTTAGCTCCCCCAAGCCCCCTTCTAGCTCCGCCTATGGTTATGGTTAATTATAACATCATTTAAAATATGTACGCTTAATCAAAGGTGGGCAAGTTAATGCAAATATTTAACTCGAGTTAAGTTAAAAGAGCACGTCATGATAAATAAGTTAAAAGTTAACCGTTATCAAATTAAAATTGAACTCGATAAGTTAAAATTTAATATAGAAAAAAATATTAACTTAACTCAATTTGAAAAAAAGTTAATCTATTTTTTTTTTTTTAATTAGTATATAAATTACATACAAAATGACTATGTCTTTCTAATTTACTAAATTATAAAAAACAATTTTATTGAACTTTTATTATAATGTACACTGTAGTATTGTACAATGTAAAATGTAAATACTCTTTTACGCTACAGATATATTATTTATTAATTTAAACTATATTCATCTTAAATTAATAATTTAACAAATATTTTTTTTTCGTATAACATAGCAATTGAAGGTCATAAAACATTAAAACAATACAATTTATTATTCATAATTTTATTAAAATATGTCTAATATCAACTGTAAAAAGCTAAGTTATTTAAACTGCCAATGAAACTCTTCAAGTTCATAAGTTGATTAAAAAATAAACTAACTAGTAAAGTTAAAAAGTTAAAAAAAAATTAACTTTTTAACTTAGCTTTAACCTTTTAACTATTTAATGCCCACCTTTGTGCTTAATTATACTTAAAACAAATTTTTTTTTTGATAAAATAAAGTATAAAAAAAATATTAATTCTTTCAGCCCCAATGACTGCAATTCATTAAAATACATTTTTTTTTCTATTTTCACGAAAAACTTAGTTTTTCCAGACCTGATATCATATGGCATCATTGGTGTTATAAGCATACAAAAACTCTTTAAAATTTAACTTAGAATAAAACATAATATAATTATCAACTTATAAAAATTAAAAACTTGTTAAAAATAAATATACAAAAACATATTAGTTTAAAAAAAAATAGAAAAAACTTTTGTATCACATTAATTATTAATAGAGCACAAGTCCAAAAAATACATTATATTTATATTATATAAAATATATATATGTAAATATTAATTAATTTATAGTCTCAAATTTTTCATAACTTAAATATAAAATCATTTTTGATGATAATCTTTAAAACAATTAAGAAATTTTGTATAGCATAACACTAATTTGCATTTAGTGCACTAAACCCTGGAATAAGTTTAGATACAATGTTTACACCTCTGTTTTAACCAATATAATCTTTTTGGTTTAATTTACGTCCTTTATTTCTAACAAGTAGATATAAGATTTATTCAATTTAAATTTTTCAGCTGTATACTTGTGCAAAAAATACATGGAAGTAAAAGACCTTTCAAGCATGGCTGGCTATGAAATTGAGCGGCTGGAGTATCTCAAAACGATTTATTACAATGAATGGAGGAATATAAATATACAAGCAGAAACTGAAATAAATATGGCTCATCAAAAATATGATTGCTATGAAAAAGAAGTGATGGACACTCAAGAACAAGCATTTTGGGATTTACATAGACCTATGGTAATGTAAACAATTTAATTTTAAAATAAATTCAAATAACATAACATACAATATTACAATTTGTTCAGTCACCATGTGCTAGTAAGAAAGCTCCGCTGGATTATGAGAAATTACTTAAGTTCAAAGAATTAATAGATTGGGATGAAGACAAAATCATAGATGGATACATTCGAAATATATGCAATTTATAAGTCTTGAATCAAATCTACAACTGAAACTCATAATATTGAGACTTTACTATATGTAAATATATGTTATATGTAATATTCAGTATAGTCTTAATTTAAAAATAACAAATCCTGCAACATTTTATTTATTTTATTGATATTAAATTGACTCATAGAAAATTATAAATACTATACATATTATTATAGCTACTAATAATTAATAACTTTTAATGATATTTAGTAAATCATATTGTCGAATCGTATTTGATTATAATAGTGACTGTTTAATTAATCTATGATAAATTATTATTAGGGTCCGGAACTTGATTCATTTGTATTTTTTTCTTAAGTGTTTATACGAGGCTTGTATTTATAAAAATGTGACTTATGTAAATTCAATGTAACCATTTTTACTTTGCATTTTTTTTGTATTTTTCGGTAATTTTTGGTTACACGGCCAATTTTTTACTGATTTTGATGCATTTTTGAATTTTTTTAGATATATTTGCATTCTTCTTCATTTTTCTTTCATATTATTTTGACTAAACTAAATATTTGAAAAAAATTACGTAATTGTACAGTCTAACCCTTCAATTATTTTTTCTAAAAATACCGATTTTATTTTTTGTAATTATTTTGTATTACTGACATTATTTCTCATCTCCGTTTTAAATTTAATTTAGACTCTGTAGTCTGCAAAAAAAAAAAAAAGAATATCTAATTTTTAAAAATATTTGCATTGTTTAAATTCAGATGAATAAAATTTAAATACGTAATTTTTCAAAATGTTATGTTATTTTTTGAGTATTTTTTTTAAGTCATGTTTTGATGTTTAGGAGTCATTATATTACTTTTTATTTGCATTTTTAAAAAAATGTTAGGTCATCAAGTTCCGGGCTCTAATTATTATATATAATAATAAACACAATTCTTGTACTAATAGATGAGGTGTGCACATTAATTCTGTGGTCAAACATAAAAGGTACTTTTTATTTACTCAATCATTGATGTTCAATAAGGTAAAATATACTCTACTCTTATCTAATGTTTAATTACCATTGTAATTTTTCTATGAAATATATATTTATAGATTCAATTTAGTTTTGTTATGATCGTCTTACTCTATATTCTATGACATACTAAATAAGTAATTAACAGATTTAAAATTATACTATAAACAGTACAACAGGTTGTCATATGTGTAACTTGTTCAAACTTGTACGCAAATAAAATGTCCACATTTTTTAAATTGTAAAAAGTAAGCCATAATTTTAATAATTCTGAAAATGTAGTTTAATTCAATTCAAATTACTTATGAAGGATAAGTAACAAGATTTAATGTTAAAAATAGTATTATAGATTTTCTTATGATCAGGAATTAAAAGTATAAAGTTGCAAAAGTGATTTATCAAAACTAATTTTGTGTCTCATAAAGTTTGCAGTATTTATTTTAAATCAACTCAGTAAGATTAAATATTAATAAATGATAGATATATTAGTGGCAATGTGTATAGTATTTGTATTTTATAAAATATATAGGAACTCTACATCATAATACCAATTACAGCTGGCAATCTATAAAATTGTTTAAATTAGGTACCTATGCATAATATAAAATGCCTTACAATGAATAGGTAATGTACCTATTAAATCTATGTTATCAATTAATATAATATAATTAAAAGTGTATTGTATTTTTTTCTTATAATTATCTACTTTTTACATATATTTTTTTATTTTCTAGAATAATATAATAGTAATAATATTGATAACTATGTACTACTCATACAATTTACAAATCAATTTTTTTGTTTTATTTTTATGCATTATATTCTGTAATATTAAATTGACATTTGGCATAGGCGGCACTTGGCTTTTATTATCAGTGGTGGGGTGAGGGGGGCAGAGATTAATCACAATTTACTGACCCATTTAAAAATCTTTTCGTATTCAACTTATCTAATACATTATACTTAAGTTTTTACTTATTATATAAATAAGAATAGATAAAATTTCTCATTTCTATATTTTTATATTTTTTACTAAAATAATTACTGAGTCAAATATCACTAATGGATGGTTTCTTATTTCTATTTTTAAGACAATAAGTATATAAATTAATATCAATGTAATCATAATTTATGTTAATATCCATAGTCTTATAGAATTTACATTAAGTTTATATTAATATTGACATTGATAATATTAATCTGACTTAACACAAAGAATAATTTTCTTATATAATTATTGTGCAATAGTTCTTTCAACATAAATATTTTATAAAAATTAAAAATTGTTTAAATAACATTTAACTTAGGAGGGGACTTTATGATAAGCTTGTCTTCTCAATATTTTTTCTGAGGGACAACTGTCCTCTCGTGCCCCCCCCCCTAAATACTTTTATTAAATATTTTTTATGTGCTGATAAAATGAATTGCCTTTATTATGATAAAAGGAAATTGATGTTTTTGGATTTTTTTCTAGTGATTTCCCTATTTTACAGCTTGCTAATTTGTTGCTGGTTATTTTATAAATTGCCTAGTTATTATACAAAATATTTAGGACATTTTTGTAAAAATATATATATTATACACTCCTTTAAAAATATCCGTGTATTATATAGTATTCCTAGGCATTTTATATAATAAATACATTATACACATTACCACTAACAGATATATAGGTAATAAACTATTTTGTTTTGTTTTATAATTATATATATTAAGAATCTCATCTTGTCTACTGTGATTATAAATCTTATTTTATTTATTTATTATGTTATTATTATATTGTAAATTTAAATGGTATTTATTTATTAAAAAAAATTTTTTTAAGCTTTATATAAATTTGGTGTACCTATAAAATATATTTGTTTTGTACAATAGTAATTATACACAGTGATAAATCTGATATCAAATTTCCCTGCATCGCTGTGTTATGTTTGACCGTGATATGTAATGTTGATTATTTATAAAAAACTCGTCTATTAGTATAAGGTCTAATATCTATGACAAAACAAATGCTAAAACAACCAAAGAAACGAAAGCCTCCGAGTTTTATTTTATTACCGATAACCAAATTTTTCACACACAACTTTTATTAATAGTTAATTCTATTAATTTTTAAATGCTAGTAAATATTCATTTAATGCAAAAATGTAAATAATAAATATAGAAAATATTGAATAAATACATCTAAAAATGCTCTTTTGTTAAAAAGCAAGCTTGTCTTAATTTGGAATTCCCAAAACTATGTCTTAATTTCAAATCAATAAATTTGAATTAATAATAAATAATAATAAAAAAAACCATTTATTCAATGTTTTAAATATGTTTATTATATAATTTATAAAACATAATAATTTAAACGACTTATTTAATAAAAATACGTGTGCAGTATTTGGTTTTACGTTTTGATTAACGTGTTGACTATTGAACTGTATTTGTTTAGTATATTGTTTGATTCATTTAAGTATTTGTGATTTTCAGTTTTTTTTTTCAAACTAAGCAAAATTTGGTTTGATAATCGAATAGTTTGCTACATCATAAACAATTATATAATACTATTCATATTACTATACATAAACAATATTATACTATGTAATATATTATCCTAAATTATACTATTCATTTATATTTCTGAATAATTGTATTGAACGCAGTGGCGTAACTAGACACGTGGGGATTCTAAAGTCAAATATAAAATGCGGTCCCTCCTCAAAAATATATATGGTCTTAAACAATCGAAGGTATACTATATCCACCCCTCCCATAAGGTAAAAAAAAACCATTGTTATTGTTAATAATTTCAAGAAAATTAAAAATAACTCAATAAGCTAACATTTTTTTTTTTTTTTTAATATAAATTTATAAGTGAAAATTAGTATTGATATTTCTAGAGCTCTTCGTAAAAAATCATCTGCAAAATGCTCTACATAATATTAAAAAAAAATTTTAGCAGAAAGATTCAACACTTGATAATTAAGATATAGTACATATTATAATCTAATTCCAATGTAAAATATACATTGAAGTATAGTATACATTTTTATATACCTATCATCTTTGCCTACAGTTCAATTATATAATTTAGTAAAAAAATACAAATGTTGTTCTTTATAAAAAGACTGATACTTTCTATTGATTATATTCGTCATCATGACTAATATCTAATTCGATTTTTTTTACAAAATACACAATAACACATAAAAAATTAACACATTTTCCAATTTTATCAAATAAAAATCAATTAGTTAATTAGATACATAATTTAGTTATTAATTATTTAAACATAATAATATATAAAATTAACTGTTTCATGACTCTTAAATATGTAAATATAATTTAAAAAAAAAATTGAAGATATACTTATGAATAAAGAAAATAATAAATTTAATATCAAACCAGTATTTAAACTAAAAAATAATAAGAATGACTATAAGTATAATATAAAGTATTATTAGTAACCGTCCCCACGGGCCAAGACGTCACTCCCCCATTAATCTGCTATTGCTGGTCAAGTTGCGATAACGAATTTCTATAAATAAGAAGAAAATCGGATATTTAAAATACTATTTTTGTTTCCCATTTCTAATTTAGCCATAATATCATTAAAGAATCTATTTGATAATCAATGACCCAAGTAATGATTTTGTAATATTATAAAATCAACAACTCATGTCTCATAATATAATATATTCCATGGGCTATTAAAAATAACAGTATTATTATACTTTATAGCATAACTATCTCACTTTAAGCTATTTGTAGTTTTTTTATTATAAGATAAAGGAATAAATCAATTTTTATTTCTTATAGAAGAAACTTGATTATTATGAAATACTGATAACAAGTTTTTAAATAACGCTTTAAATCAACAGTTCTTAACGTTTTGTAGATCAAAACTGCTGTTTTAAATAGTAACTAAAATTATGTGCAAATTATTTTCAAAAAATTTGATAAAAATTAAATTACCATAAAAATGTAAGTAATTTATAAATCAGTTAAGTTACTTTCTTATTCTGG